CTCCCTTGCAGAAATCAGGGTACAAAGGTGATTTTAATAATGTTCCCTAACAATGTACTTCAAAAATTTAGCAGCTCTTTCAAGGTACACAGGGCAAATTAAATTTCAGCTCACTAGAAATATTAGCCTACTGTACCAAAACAACAAAAACATTCTTTAAACTTTACAATCTTTACAAGGAAGTGATGTCATAACTATGTACATGCATTGATAATGTATGTAACTTAAGAGTATCTCCATCTTCAAGGATTCTAGAGTATCTGGACATCCATCAAATATACTTTCTATACTTTTAAATATACTTTATAATCAAGTCTGTAATTGGCAAAAGCATTAAAAGCCTGCTTCTTGTTTTGACAAAAGAAATGAAGTGCATGGCAATGCTCAAATCATATCCCAGATAAAAGTAAAAGTTTATTCAAAGGCAGCACTTGGAGATAAATTAAGAGAGCATAGTCTGATCAATGAAACCAGAAACCCTGCATAAGAAAGCCAAAATCCTGGTGAGAATATGCAAATCATATACTCAAGGGAGTAACAGCTCTTAATACTGGGTCTTTCATAAATGTCAAATATATCTAGAGCTTCCTATAGCTTCAAATTATTACTTTCAAGAAAACTAGTTTTGCATTACAAGCTTTTTGTTCTATATATAACCCAATAATTACACAGGCCAACTCAAAAGATCCAAAATTGTAACAACTCAATTTGCAGAGGAACTTGGAAATGTGCTTTTAAAAGCAAGACTCAAACTATTTTTAGTAAAAGCAAAATTCATCATTTGTAGAAAACCATATTCAAAATTTACAAGCTAATTTAAAAAAAGAATTTGATGCAAAATTATAAAATAAAATCAAAATTGAGAAAAGATCACATAACCAATCACATCCTTGTTAGCTGCATAATTTAAAAAATTATGACATGACAATTCTTAACAGATACAGATATGCATGAACATTATTTTTTTAAATGAAGATAAAGATACAGTCATACAACAAAAATATCTTATAGGTTTTATTACTTTAGTCACTGAAAACTACTTCAAGGAATGTGAAACAAATCATTATTTGAACAAACAGTACATTAAAGCTTCAGAAGAGAAAGCATTCCAGACGACTCTGTCAAAATAAATGGATAAATTTAAAGCAGCATCAACTAAAATGTAAAGATGAAATACAATTACCAGCCAGAAAGCACTGTCTTAACATAAATACACAAGCATAAACCTTGTAACATTTTAAACATAAAATCTGAAATTATATTGTCATAGTAACAATCACAAAGCTCAAGTGTTAATAGTATTCCAGGATTTTTTCAGTTACAGATTTAATGATTTCAGGAACTTAAGTAAGGTTTTGTTAAGTCATAAAATTTTCAAATTTGGTAAGTGTATCAAAAGAAAAAAAATCAAAATCATAAAATGAAAGGCATCAGTCAAAGGGTCTCATTTGTGATTCTGTTTTTAAATGTACATTTTCTCATTCATATAACTTTCTCAAATGTCTATTTACTATAATTTACTACCACAAGGCTCCTCTATGGCCCTCAGTTACAAGTCTGAATATCCCAGATTATTCAAAGGAAAAAATGTGCCTTGTATGTAAAATGGTGCAATGCAGCAATGGCTAAACAGACAAGGTCATTTTTCTGCAGCGTGAAAACCTAAAAACTAAAAATTTACTGACAGAAAAACTACAGTTTCTAGGAAAGGCCCCTCCGTACAAAAGTACCTTACCTTCTGAATGCTGTAAGAGGCCTTAAGTCACAACTCAACTTTCATAAATTGCTACCAAAAAATCAGGGTGTGGCATGTTAGCAATCTCAAGGTCACGCTTTAAAAAAAAAAAATCTACCCAAGTTAGACAATTCAACACAGACAGCAGCAATCCATGTCTGTCAAAGTAAACAAGTGTAAGCTGAGGTTTCCCGGAAAAAAAAAAAAAAACAGAAAGAAAAGAAAGTTGATAGCTCATACCTCGATGCATTGCTGTGTAGCGAACTGTCCTCCTCTTGGCTTTTGTCCTTATTTCTCATCATCTTTTAATTCTTAAATATAAGGGGGAGGGGGAATCTGTGTTTGCTTTGAAGTCCTGTGCCCAGGTATTTACTGTCAAAAGTTGAAAGAAAGGTAAGGTCCCAGCTTCTATGGATGGTTCTTATTATCAGGAACAAAGTCCTGACGATGTTAGCGATATTCATGTAATGCAACAACGGTAAGCATCAAAAAAACAAAATATTTCTATTTTTTCTTTTTAAAATAAGTGGGGGATAAGCTGAACTGTAGAAGCATCACTATCAATAAGGAAAGTTTCTCAAAGTAACACACTGGATAAAATAACAATCTCTGTATCGTAATTGCGTCATCCAGGAATTTCTCATATTTACAATAAATAAAACCAACTTCAACATAAAAATCTTTAAAATTATCACTAATTATTATGGGCTTACCTGATCCATGCAGTATGTCCAAAGCAAGAGTCCTATCTAGTAGTAGAAAAATACCAGATCCAAAATTAAAAATAACGCGAAATCCTCCGTAAAAAAACAAAAAGTAAATGAAATAGTCCTCAAATGTGTTGACTTGTCAAAATATAAAGCAATAATTAATACTAAAACAGGTCCGGAAGGGAAAAAAAAAGCCTCATTAGGAGAGCGCACAAAAATGGAGGTGCGCCATGGCTTCTAAGCTGGAAAAAACAACGACCTGGGCTCTCAATACGGCAGCTTCTTCCAACAAGGCACGAAAAAAAAGCTCCTAAAAGCTGCTTTTCTCTCAAAAAACGGTTCGGGTCGACCCCAGTAAGTCACTAGGAGAGGCAGGGGGCTGCGGGGGCCCCCTGAGGCTGCCCGAAAGTTAGGGAAAGTTGCGTAAAGTGAACCGAAGCAGGGAGCAAAGCGCGCTCTCTCTAAGGCACAGCCGCCATCTAGAGCCTCCTTCCCAGCTCTGAGAGCTCTGCCTTTGATTGACACTCTCTACATTTACCCCACAACTCAGGTGATGTACCATAGACCCACCCCTTCATCTCCACCAAAAAAAAAAAGAAAAGAAAAAACTAGATCCTCCATCCAAGGGAGCCTTAAGACCCCCAACCCCACACCTCCCTGCCCCTCCAGACCACTCCATAAGAGGGAGGGGGAAGGGCTTCTTAACCCCCTCTGGCTCAAGCACCCTTTTAAAGCCAGAAAGAAATGTAATTTGTTCCTTTTGTCTAAAGATCTGCTAAATATTTCAGTCCTTGAGCTAAAATAACTTCCTTCCTGGACAGGAAGTGGTGTTTTATCAAGCCATTTTGAAATAAGAATAATTTTTAGAGAATCTAAAGCTCATCTTAAAGTACTAATCTTTAAAAAAATTAATACCCCCATGGGTAAAATGGCTTGCAAACAGAAGCAGCAACATCACCATAAATTAAGCTCAACTCTTGCCTTTTTGTGATCCCTAAAAACCATCTAAAGACTTAAGTTTAAGGGGGAATTTTCCACCCCAACTGGAAGGGGTAATTTTCTTACAACTCAAGAGCGCCTCCCTAGTGCTCAGCTGCGGTAGAGCAAAACTTAGTACAACCACCCCCATCAGCAAAATTTTTAACCCATTATATAACCTTGGAGACGCCACATACCAAAATATTCTCATATTCATTACATATTTATTTCTTAAACTTATTTGGGCAAAATGAGTAACTACAAAATCTAGAATATAGACCAACCATGGACACCTTTAAATCAAAAACTCAACATCAATTCCAAAACCAAAAGAACCAGTATAACACAACTTTCACTCAGATTTCAAATCAAATTCTAAGTGCACTCATATATCATCAATGACAGGTCACTTACAGTAGGTCACATCTAACAGCCAATAATCAAACTTCCAAAGACAAACTCCCTAAAGGTGGAAACAAGATCTATAGAAGCAAAATTACAATTGCAGACAAGTAACCAACCACCCTAAAAACTCAAAACATTCCTTTACTAAACCCTATAACTGATCAAAACCATGTCACTCTTATCAATGTGGTGATCCATTTTAAATTTACACCAAAAACGACCATATTAAATCTAAGTAAATGGAAAATCTATAATCAAGTTTCAATTCTAAAGAGATTTTTTTCACCCAAACAAAAAATCCAAAGTTCATTTTTCAATTTACACAAAGACCAACCAACTACTTCAACAAACACTCCATGTGTATTAACCATAGATGTATATCCTAAGGTATTTCACATTGTTTTCTCAGTACAGAGAACAAAGAACAAATCAAGTCATTTAGTCACCAAAACAAATCCCCATTATTCTTTTACATTAGTTACCAAAATGAAAACCATGGGTAATCTAAAGCATGGTGTGATTCATTTAAACTCCCAACTCTACAGAAGATTTTCTCCAATGTAAATTAGACTACTGTAAAATATCAAGCCCTTTGGTGTATACCCTTAAGGCCCTAAAAATTCACATCTAATATTAGACAATACAAACATCAGTATAACTCAAATATTCAGATGAACATCTTACTTCCAGATGTTTTACTTATACTTTAAAAAACAAGTCAAAAGGACTACTTTTATAAACACGAATTGAGATATTCTGACTTAAGTCTGTATTGGCAAGAAGTACTTTGTTTTATAAATGTATTTTAATCTTATGACACTTTCAAGGTTCCTGTTACCCACTGATTAATATGCAAGATATTTTGAGAAGACCCAAACAAACTTAATGAAAGTCATTTAAACCCTATAATAAACACCAACCAAACTGCTTTTTAACCAAAGGGCCATTCCAAGCACAGGTACATTGACACAACTTTGCAAAAAAAAAAAAAAAAAAAAACATAAACCAAACATTCTTCAGTACACATTCCATTTTACCAGCTTTATTCAGTATAGTTTAATGAAAAGCAACTATAGAGGTCAAAATGTTATTGAGAAAAAAATTAACACTGAATGACAGCTTCCACTTTAAAAAAAAAATAAAAAATTAAAAAAGGGCCAAACTGAGAAATCTTTAAATTTTAGATATTTTATTGAAGTTAACATTCCATAAGGTCACTCATAGCAAAACTGTTAAGGAATTCCAGGAATACAAACTATCATTTGAATAAATGTAGCATCTTCTTCAGATGTTAAACTGTACATGCTATGTAACAAGTCTTTAGAAAGTAAATCCCACTGTCCATTTGTGTTGGGTAACAATCATTCATTTCATGGAATCCACAATAAAGAACCCTGTGTTGGTTGAATAATATCACAGCATTCTTGCATTAATCCATTTTCCTCAATTCCCCATAGTGGGCTGCCATCTTGATTTCTCAGTGGTAAGGTCCATTTGAAAGTCTTCAAGTTGACTGGATGCTTCACAAAAAAAAAATTAGAAGAAAAAAATTCTGTTGGAATGGCAATCAACTCATTTCTTCAAACAGAAAATTCTACCCACCTTGAATATTCTACCATACACAAATCTTTAATTCTCCAAAATCCATTTGCTGAAACAGCACTATTGAGATAAACTTAACCTCTCAAAAACAGAATCAATGAATACACATTTTGTAGGTTCTCCTGTCAGATACACTTGTATCCATTAAAAACAGTAGCAAAGATCAAATTCTTAAAATATAACATTGTGAATACATGAAAGTAAAACCAAAGATTAAATTTCAAAAGTGTTAAGAGGCTAAATTAGAGACACATTGAAATCTACAATTTCAATGCAAAAGTTTTCAAGCCTCTTCAAAGAAATTTATAAAAAGAATCTTAAAAGTTAAAGCAATAGATCATTGCATGGTATACTTTTAGTCTTACAGCTGTTAATTTTGTTTAGGTAACACACATGACCTATATAAACAGAAGCACCTTTATAGTTATATATCTGAGAATGTAGAAAATGTGAAATCACAAGAAAAAAATAACAAAAAAATTAGAAACATCTGCTTGCCTTACTTGGAATTTGCCACAGAAATGCTAATGCTTTTCAATTATAAACAACTAAAATATATGTTCATTGCCAAAACATCCTATGTTCCTCCTGGAAAAATTAATCTGTTATTTAAATAATTTGGACTAGAGGGAGAAATGAAAATCTAAGTGATCTTACTAGTAAAGATCTGGATTTGTCACCTTCACACAAAATTTGAAAAAGAAACCTTTTTTCCAGTTTTTATTATGTGTGCATGTTTTTCTAGGGGGTGGTAAACATTTAAATGGGTGAAAGGCCATGTGAAGGCCTGAGGTTGATATGTTGGTAGTGATGTTGAGAAACCATTTTAACTCTATTTGTTGAAGCAGGATCTCTCAGTCAAACCTAAAACTCATCATATTGCTAGTTAGTTCCCTCTGATGGGGACCCATCTCCACCTGAAATTACAGGCAGGTGGTGGCTGCACATTTACTGAGCCAAAAAGCCATCCCTGGTGTTCTCTGTACTACAACTTTCCAACTCAATTTGTAGAGTACAGTCATTGTGTGACTGAGGAATAAGAAAAAAAATATGAGAAGGTATGTTTGCTTCTAGGCTAATTTCCTATCTTCCTACCTAAAATTAAGGAATGTTCTCTAATTATAAAAGGCAGTGCTGCCCCTATTAAAAAGTGATTCTTTATAAGACTGTCACAGCATCAGTAACAATTACCAAATCAACATATTCCTAACCTCTGGGTCATCTCTCCACTCCCAAATCAAGGTATTTCTCTCTAGTAAATTTTGGAAATTTCCCAAACCCTTCCTCTTAAAATAATTCCTTCTGTTCCCATGTGAATGAAATACTATCTGCCTTCTTTTCTTAAAATTAGGAAGTGGTTGGGTACAATGGCACATGCCTTTACTCCTAGTACTTAGAGGAGTCAGAGGGGCAGGAGAACCTCTGAGTCTTGAGACCAACCTGATCTATTGGGGAGTTCAGGGTCACCCAAGGATACATAGTGGTACCCTGCCTCTAAATGAAAAGGAGAGTAATGGTAGCGGCACTTGTTGTACTTCCAGGGCCCAGGTTTGATTCCCAGTACCCACACAGTACCTCATAACTTAAACTCCACTCTCAAGGGATACAATTCCTAGAGGCCTCCTACAGGATTGGGCTTGCATGTGGTGCACAGACAAACATGCAGGCAAATCAATACGTTAAAAAATATTTAATTTAAAAATTAAAAATGGTAAATTATATGTCAGCACAGTCTATTGCAAACCAGATAAAACTCATGGTCAGGTGCTATATGATGAGCCAGTGATATAATCTTTGACAAACTGACAATAACAATGTATTTACTACTTCAGGATATCAGGTGCAGGTCACTCAGTGGTACATTAATACTCAATGCTATCTGTCTGCCACTGGATAGTAAAATTCACTTCTAAAACAATACTTAAGGAGAAAAAAAGAAAAAGCATAGTACAATTCAGAAAAGTTTATTCATTGAATGCACTAATCGGTGGGCTTGAGCACCAACACCATATAAAACTGGGCATAGCGGTAGCACATGCCTGTAATCTCAGTATTTGGAAGATAAAGGAAAAATCAGACATTCAAGGTCATTCTTGGCTATAAAAACCTCAAAAAAACATAGAAGGCCAAATAAGGTGGCTTCCACATGAAATCCAAGCACTCAGAGAGGCTGAGGCAAGAATACGGCTATTGAGTTTGAAGCTACAACAGGCTATAGTCTCAAAAATAACAAAAACCTAATGACATTATCATTTGAAAACTCAAAAACTGCACTCCCATTGTTGTCATGTCATCAAGTGATGTATTTCAATAATTTTTACAAAAAAAATTTTTTTAACTACTAGAAGAGAAACAGACTTTAACATTATCAATCAGTGATCAATATGGACTCATTCAAAGCCCACACATGATCCAAAACCAAAAAGCAAAAATTTTGTTTCATGAAGTAAGATAATAAACGGTCTGTGAAAGGTTAAGAAGTAATCCATTTACATTCATGAAGTTTCAAATACTAGCAAAAACTATCTAAGAAAAGTTTTACTTGACAAAAAAATAGGAATCAAATATGAGCACTTCAGCATGAAAACATTAACAAAACCCACAGCTCCTCAAGTGCAAAGAATCTTGATCCTAGTGACTGCCTGTTGTGGCACTACTGAAGATGACATGAGCTAACCTCAGTAAAGGCTGGCTACCATTGCACTACATCATAGTAATAATCAAAGCTATGAGGATCTCTAACTCAAGAGTCAGAACACTTTCTATTTCAACAGCATGGGTGTCATTGAAAACACACCCAATCATGGAGTCAATTATTTAAGAACAGTTTTGCCTTTAGTATTATTGTATTGTATGAAAATACTTTAATGTAGCATAGATACTAATGATCAACTACTCATTCTACAATCAATTGTTAATTAATACAGACATACTGAATAGGTATGCCTTTGAACTAGAATGCCTTTGATCTAGAATTCTATGTTCACTCAGACAGACCTAGGGCCTTTGTTTCAGGTATAAGAATCAAACTTAACATTGGTATTTTCTAGTTTGTACTTCCCTTAAGTATATATGTTTATTCTAAAAACAGATGTGCTCCCTGTGCAAATCTAAGCTTTTATGTCAACAAGGTTATCATTAAGTTATCTCCTGAAATCCAACTACTAGAGACATTCATACATTAAGAACAGAAAATTGAGTGTGGATATCTTCAAATTCTCTTTCAGTAAATTACTTTTGAAACTATGATACAAATCATGAACTAAAATGCAAGCCACTGACTTATATGGAGTCCACATAGGGTTCTCTTGAAATAAAGCAGTTCTCTACTTAAATTTCAACTAGCTTTACCTTTTTTTTTTTTTTTTTTGAGATAACCTCAGTCTGAGGCCAAGAATGAATGTCCTTGAACATCTGGCTCCTGTCCTCCCAAGTGCTAGGATTACAGGCTTCAGCCAATCTTTACCAGTTTTAATAGCAAAGAAAAACATACAGTGTGGATCTAAAAACTAACAGTAAAATTATTTCAAAAAGACTAGCCAATCTTCATCAATGAAAGGATGAGGTCAAATATGATAAAGCAAAAGTCATCTTTTTTGTGGCAATTACAAAACAAACATAGAGACTGGGTATGGAGGAAGGACCATACATATTACTTTTAACTTTTTGTCAAAATTTTAGCTTTCGAGCACACCTATAATATTTTACATAATAACACTTATGGGTTTGGTTTTCTTGTGTTTTTTTTTTTTTTTTCTTTGAGACAGGGCTTCTCAATGTAGCTTTGTCCTTTGTCCTGGCACTCTGTAGACAAGGGTGGCCTTGAATTCACAGAGATCTGCTGTCTCTGTCTCCCCAGTGCTGGGATTGAAGGTGTGTACCACCACTACCCAGATTAACATTTATGCTTTTTTTCTTATGTTTTGTTTTTAACATTCATGTTTTAACAATGAGTTTCAATTTGCCTTTCATTAGACTGAAAGCACTACTTGATAATGTTTACTAAAAGCTACACTAACATCATAAATGAACAAATATTTAGTGAATAGGTATGATGTACCAGGCAACTGATCTCTAAGTGTAATCACACAAGAAACTAGTAACTAGTGCATTAGGCAAATTTTGGCTCTTCTCATTCTCCCTCAGGAAAAATGAAAACCTTGTTTTGTAGGTCTTAACAGCCACTGCAATCTATCTCATGTAGCAATAATGGAAAAAGAGACACTCAGAATCTAGATTCACAAATATTTTACTCTATCAAACAGCTAGTAGACAATTATCTTCAATGTTTGTTGCCAATAAATCCTTTTGGCAATTAATTCAAAAAGATTTATAACAACCTTCATGTTTTACTTTTTCCCACTACTTCTTAGATTTGAAATTAGAAAAACTATTTCACAGTAGTGGTAATTATAACACTTCTTGTATCAAATAGCAATTTCTATGACAATAAGGCAAAATGTTCAATCTTGAGGTTTACGTTAAGAGTTCATTTATCATAACCAACTACAAATGGAAATCAATTAAAATTAATTTCTATTGAAAAGACAGACCCAAAGGGTGTCTGAGTTCTACATCATAAAAGTAGCATAGACCCTAAGGACCATGGGCTGTTTTCTTTGGAGATCAGACTGTAAACACCCTCGGGTATAAATCTATTTCAGTACAAGTATTCTCAACTGTGAAACTGTAATGTGAAAGCAACCGGTACCATAGTATCACAGGTATGCTGTAGGAAAAAAAAAACTTTCCAAACTCAAGGGACACCAAGTTAAGGATGTGGGAAACAGGTCCAAATGGGTTTCTTGATCTTAATGTTTTAATTTCTGAGTCCATTATGATGGCACATCTTTAATCCCAGCACTCAGGAAGCTGAGGCAGGCAGATCTCTCAGTTCCATGTTAGCCTGATCTACATAATAAATTCCAAGTTCACCGAGGATAGAAACCATGTCTCTAGAATGAACTTCATATGTAACCATTCATTATATGGATTTCCCTAAACTGTTTACAACCTTGATAAAGCTTAAAATTCCAAATCAGTAACTTAAAATGTCTAGTGGCACTTAATATTAAAAAATCAAACCCAACAAGTAGATTAAGACTTACTAAATGAATCAATAATGTCTATGGCATAGGTCTTTCCTTTCATTCCATCTGGGGATCCACATTTCTGCAAAAGACAGAATAGATTTTATTAAATCCTATGACTATATCACAATTGCAATATTGTCTAAGGAATCAATAGACCAAGAAATATAATTTATAAATGGATTAACCCAAGCAAAAGACTGGAAAACTGTAACAAGATCTTAGACTTGGCAGTGCATTAGCTAGCTGACTTCTAGAACAAATTACTAAAATTAAGCCTAGGTCTCACTCAGTCCAAGAACTCAAAAGGAGTCATTACAGAGGCCCTTCATGAATTTGAACGAATATCCAGAGTTGAAAATAGAGAGAATACAAGTTAACAGTACAGAATTAATCCATACTCTGACCACCCATCTAATTAACTTTTAAGTCTTTCAAAGAAAAGCTTTACTACCTATCTCCAAGATTATTTTATCCCTATTACCATATTACTTTGTAATATCTATGCTAGAATCAACATAATATAATCATGTACATAGTATTTCTAAATAAAATGTTACCTTAGCTATCATTTCAAATTACTATCAACTGTACTATTTGAATAACACTGAGTCTTTAAGACTTACAACTTTTTATGTCTATGGGTATGTGCACATCTACACAAGTCCAGAAGAAGGCACTGAATATTCTGTAGCTGTACAAATAGTTTAAGTACTGAAAACCACACTAGGATCCCTCTAAGAGTAGTACAGGCCCTTAAATATCAAGCCATTTCTCCAACATAACACTAATGTTTATATATGCACTTGATTTATCAGCACTTCTCACTAGTTACTGACATAAATTCCTCATAACTAAATATGGGAAATATCTTGCATCTCAAATACTTTCTGAAATAAGGATGGGTTTTTATGTGCCTTAGGTTTGTATGATTATAATCACAAAATAAGAAATAGAGCTGTTCTGCTAGAGCCTAAGCTCTACAAACCTAGTCCTAAACCCCACTGCTGAGTCTCCTAACAAAGAAAAGGTGCCAAAAGCAGAGTTCTGCAGCCTTGGCAGCTATTACGGTTTCTTCCCCTGAAGTTGCCAGCAGCTCAAATTCCTGCCCGCCTAAGTGCTTGGCCTCTGACCATACTTGGACAGGAACCCAGCTTATGGAGGCCATGTCATCACCCCTTGCCTCCTACCTATAAAATCTCCACTTTAGTTTGGGGGAATGACTTCTCTGGCGCTGGGAACCTGCCTGGTAGCTGCTTTGCTCAATATATCTGTTGTTATACTTTTCCAATTTTGGTTGATCTGGCTTACTGAATCATTAGAGAATCATTATTGGGGAAAGGGGGCAGAAAACCTATTAAGAGGTATAACTAAACAAAAAATACTAAAAACATGAAAAAAAAGTTTGAAAGTTACTGTCACCTCAGGACTCAGGGAGTTGTCAGCTTGGATTATATATAGGAGACTATGTCTCCACCAAAAAAGACAGTGAGATGGCTCACCAGGTAAAAATGCTTGCTGACAAGGAAGCTGAGAGGAATTCATATGGAAAAGAGAACTGACTTACACAAGTTTTCTCTGATCTACAAACATTTAAAAGCTTAATATGAAATTGTAGCAATTTAAGATATTTTTTTAGGAAAAAAAGCAAATAAAAAACCTAAAGTTTATGACTTAAACTAAGCTATCAAACTAACTTCCTAGGAATTATTTGCAAGTGCCTGTTTATGTATCAAATCTAAAATCATTTTTATAAAGCATAATGACGATATACCAAGGATCTGCTTAAAAAGTTACTATTAAAGTAGATACTAAATATCTTCATAAGAAAACAAAACAAAGCAATGATCTTAAAATTGTTAAACCTCTAGTGTAATCTACCTTAATAGGAAGAGGGTTTTTGAACAAAGTCAAATCTTAACACAGGAGGAAACTAAATTGACTCAGGGCAAGAGATGATGGTCAGTGACAGAAAGAAGGCTCCCCAGCATTTGAGGTCCTTGGTTCAAACTAGTATAAAAAAATAAAACTGATTTAGGGCCCTTTACAGGGGTAGAAAATGTTTAAAGAAACCTTGTCTTTCAAAGATTTCTAAGAGAAATCCCTCATGCTGCTTTAGTAGTATGATTATGATTAAGTCACACACCAGTCCAAAAAATTTTTAGGTGAGGTGATGAAACCACGGAAAAAGAGTCTTTGATATTACTTTACACCAGAGTGAAATGATTACTGCTGATGCAATTCACAATAGGTTCTCCTTTCCCAAAGTTGAGCAAGTATGTAGTATTTTTGTCACCCTTCAAAACGGGATGAGAGTCCAGTTCAGTTTAAGTAGAATAGCAGTATCATTTTCTTCAAATTCCTACCTGTCTCACATATTTTAAAATGAACTTTGTGACCTAAAACCAAACTTTAGGGGATATAAGCATATAATGCTGGCCCTCTGGCAGTAATATTCAAGAACACTTTGTTGCTTCTTAAATCCCTTAAACACTTAAAATCTAAGAACAGTGAACTATAAGAAAATGTTTACAAAGATAGGATAATGAGAGGCATGTGTGTACTGTGGTAATCAAAAGGTTCCTCCTTGTAATCTCTATACAGCTTAAGAAGTCACAAAACAACAAGTAAACAAAGATATTAATTAGCATTTCTTAAGAAAACTGCTTTAAGGGACTGGAGATAGCTCAGTGATAGAGGTCTGACTGCTCTTGCAAAAGACCTGAGTTCAATTCCCAGCATTCACATGACACCTAACAACTGTAACTACAAGTCTAACACCCTCACACAAGCATACATGCCTGAAAAACACCAATGCAAATAAAAATAAATTATTTTTTAAAAAAATGCTTTAAAATAAATCATTAAGGTAGGCATGATGGTTGATACCTAAGGAAACTATCTCAAAAAAGAAAACACACACAAATAAAGCATTTATTTTAAAACCACCTTTATAATCTGAATTTAAAGGATTATGATTGCTGATACATATTAACCACTTAATTCTGTAGCTGTAGAGATAGCTCAGTAGTTAAGGTACTTGTTGCTCTGAAAAACAGAGCTTTGGTTCCTTTTAGGAACTAGCAGCCAGCTGACATCCCCCACCACCCCCTGACGATGGGTGGGATGCTCATGGCCTTGTCATCTCTCAAGCTTTACCTGGCTGCCAGAAGACTCAGTTACGCATGCGCGAGACCCCCTTTTAAAGCAAGCGTGCCAAGGGCACCTCTCTCTCTGGTTTCTGGTTTCTCTCTTGCCCCCCCCCTCTCCTGCTTTCGGTTGGCCACCAGCTAGCCCCTCTTTCTCTCCCTTCTCTCAATAAACTCCAAGTGGGCGCTAAGTCTCCTGTTTGTGTTTCTTAGGCATTAGCTGCAGCAGCAAAACAACAACAGTTCCCAGTACCCAAATGGTGGCTCATAACCATCTTTAACTCCAGTTCCAGAGAATCCAACAACCTTATGACCTCTGAGCACACTAGCCATGCACACAGTGCAAATACATACATGCAAGCAGAACACTCATTCCCATAAAAATGTTAAATCTTTCACAAGGTCAAAGAAGCCTACTCAAGTTGTCTTCTGACCTTCAAAATCAAATTTGCAAACACACAAATAAACTAAATATAAACTTAAGGTAAAATTATAATTCCTGAAGCACAGACCTATGGGGCTTTATTAGATAATATGTAAATCCTAACATCAGAAATGCCTTTTTAAAAAAGGAGGTCACCCCAAGGAAGGAAGGAAGGAAGGAAGGAAGGAAGGAAGGAAGGAAGGAAGGAAGGAGCGAGCCACACCCTTTAATCCCAGCACTCAGGAGGGAAGGCAGAGGCAGGTGGGTTTCTGTGAGTTCAGGCCAGTCTGGTCTACACAGGTCCAGGACAGCCAGGGCTGTTACACAGAGCTCTGTCTCAATAAATCAATCAATCAATAAATAAAACACGTATACACACAGACACACACACACACACACACAAAACTCAGATCACCTCTCACTAAAGATGCATAATAATCTTAAATTTAGAGTATCAGGTGTAATGGCTGGTGGCATCTGTAATCCCAGCACTTTCAAGGCTAATGCGTAATCTCTACTACCTTACATTCAAGGGCAGCCTGTGCTACACAGTAAGATCATGTTTCAAAAATATGCCACCAAAATGGCTCAGGACTGTGGTGGCACGTCTTTAATCCCAGCACTAAGGAGGCAAAAACAGTTGCATCTCTGTGAGTTCAAGGACAGCCGGTTACAGAGCAAGTTCCAGGACAGCCAGGGCTACACAAACTAAATCCTGTCATGAAAAAAAAGAAAGATGGCTCAGAGCTTAACTGTGCTTTGATGCCAAGTTTGCCAGTCCACATGGAAGAGCCAATTTCTAAGGGCTGCCTCTGACCCCCATGTTCACACAAGTACATAAATGGAATTTTTGAAAATAAAAAGGCTGAGGATAGCTCAGGGACTGTTTTTCTACCATGTACAATATAAGGCCCTGTAAGCAAAGGAAACAAAAATGCAGAAACAAGCAAAAACATTAAAACTGTTAATTACAGTAAAAATAGCCACTTTGAAAATAAATTTTGAAATCTACCTAGAAGGGAAACAAATTCATGAGGTGAAATTATTTACCTTAGAAATGGAGAAATATTTTTACTTAAAATAATTTTTTCTATCAACAAGAAAACATGGAAGGCATATAAACTACAAATCTTATAATGACGGTCAGCATGGTCAGCTGTAAACATGAAAATACAGTCATCTTTAAAATTATATGCTTTCATATAGCAGAATTCTAAATCTTCTTTGCTTAAATACAACTTTTGGGGGGCAGGGTCAAATAGCTGGTAATCGTGACTATATTATATGCCAGCCCCCACTTCCCAAGAGTTAGGACTGGAGATAGACACAACCAACCAGTGTTAATGCAGTACTAGGGCTTTGTGCATGCTAGGAAAGCCCTCTACCAAAAGAGCCACTTCTTCAGGCTCAATTTGATACTTTTCCAGTCTCTGCATTTACACTGTATTTTGGTATACATCAAAATTAGGTAATTGTCTTGTTTTACTATTCTAAGAGTTTCACAACAGAATTAATACCCATTATGCAATGTAAAGAAAAAGAAATTCAGATCACATGGAAGATACTCCCTGGGATTATTTTTAATCACTCAATTTAAGAGCTAAAAGAGAGATGAAAGCTATAAACTCTATACCCTTCACACAAATAAAAGATTCAAGGCTCAAGAATACAAGTCAAGATTATATAGCCTATTTACATTATGGGTGGAGAACCCTGACTGCTGAATCATCACATATATCTGATTCAACAGTAAAATGATAAAGGAGAAACCAAATTTTTAAATACTCAGGAAACTGATCAGAAAACTGAGTTATAGAAAATTTACATTATAATTACCTATGTCATACACTCAAAACTATAAATGTGTGTCATGATCCAAAAACACTTGTGATTAGCCACAACACAGCTTTTTAAATCTTTGGTATTTAACTCTCTAAAGTCCATTAAGTATGTTCTAGCAACATAAACACAATTAGAAATAAGATTTTTAAGAACTGAAGAATTTGTTCTTAAGTAAAAATACTTGACAAAGAAAACTAGCTTGGTTATGTAATAAAGCACATTTACTACATATACCTTTGCAGATCACATAATCCCATCTGCCCTCATGTGCCAGTGAACTTTTTCATTAGTAAATCATAAGTATTCAAACACTGAATATAAGTACTATCATAAAGATAATAATGCATGTTCTTTATAAACTATAACTTAACCACTTATCTGGTTATAGGAGTTGCCTCTGAAAGGGTAGGAATTAATTTAGCAATTACTACTTCACTTATTAAAGTGAAAAAAGCTGTTTATTACTTTTTCTGTTCAAATTATACCTCAGATAAGGCCATTATGAATATATTGTCTTAACTTCTGATAGTGTCATACAAAACACCTCATTCTCAAGTTCCAAAACAGTATTCAACAAATGCCAATTCCACATTCTTTTCGCTGCAAAGAAGAAATCCTAATTTTGGCATCTGTTATAGGAACTTAAAATTAAAGATACTTTTGTGTATATTCTATCATTGAAAGATTATTTTAAAAGTCTATAATTTTCTTGTCTATACAATAATATAAACCTGAACAATCTTAAAAGATACTTCATTAAGTTAACACAAAGACAATTAAAAATTAGTCTATTATTACATATTTGGATCAAAAGGTAACACAAACTTAATTTTCCATAGAGTTCTAAGATATAAGTAATTGTGCCCTCATTTTAATTAATTAGTTGCTTGGGGTTTTTTGTTTTGTTTCCCAAGGCATCACTTTATGATTACATATTTTCTCTGGCCAGTCACTTAAAATTATTCATTAGAGATTATTTCTGGATTCAAGATTATATGGACAGATTTATTTCTTTATATATAAGTCACATTTTCTTCATTCACCTTAATATTCACCTACTAAGGTATTAATGCATTTGTTTCACGGTATGCTGAACCCAAAACCTTTTGTGCTTGAAATTATTTCTCTTTTAGGTTCAAGAACAATTAGCAAAATACAGATAGATCGGTGCACTTATAGTTTGCTATAATAAATTTTTGTGCTTGTTTAAAGAACAAGCTACTAAAAATGAGTATTTTAACCATTTAATAACAAAGACATCAAAGTTTGTTTTTAGCTTTTGAAATGCAGTTCTTTCAAGAAGGAAGGGAACAATAATTATAAAAATTTAGGACACCGTTACATGACAGGAATTGGGTAGGGAGCTAAATAATATTTCTTTCAGACTGTAAAAACAGAACTGATTTAACATGGCATATTTAATCGTCACAAAAAGGCAAGCGCCATTTTATTGGGAAGAACAAATGTCTTACTACTGGACAGAATTGTATGCATTGATATAAATTACATGTGAATCAACTGTTTTAATAGTTAACACAAAAGTGCTCCGGTTAAAGGTAAAAATAGGATATTTTATCATTTTTTATATAAACAGTTAATTTGTCTCAATGACAAACTTTAGTGATATTTTTCTACCCAAATGTTGGAAAATATTCAAATATGATAATTAAAAGAACTTACTTGCTATATAAAATACAGAATTTCCCCAGGGCTCTCCTTTATTCTTAAAGGTAAATCTCTATTGTCTCAGTCTTCAAAACACCTTTTGGAGAAAACAAATAATAGTCTAAACAACTTAATGATGAAGTAAACTAGTAAAACTAGAAATGTTTTAAAACTTTATACAGAACAACAGCTACTATCAATGCTTAAAGCTTACTTCAAATACTGCTCTCTAAAATCTATTTAAATTGCATTCTATTCAAATTTCTTAATAAATTTAAGTACTTAAAATGTTAAAATAATCTGCATGGTTATCTTAAAGAGGTGAAAAGGGGAAAACATCTTTGGTCCAAGTCTGGCTGCAAAAGCTTGTTACCAAAATTAAACAAAGCCTTAAAAGTCTTGCAGTATTTTAAGGTATACAAAGGTACATTACACAAATATTCTTTTAATCATTTACTCAATAAAAAGAGCTTTTAAAGATTTTTAAATTTCAGATACATATATTCATTCATAATCATAAACATTAACTGAATGCTAGAATTAAGTTATCAAAAAGGCAACACAAAAACTGAACAAGTTAATTATGTCAAACCAATATATTTACCAATCTTACCTGGGATAAAAGCTGTATTTACTCAGAATCAGCAATCACACTAATTATAATCTTGTAAGTTACCTTAAAAAAAATAAGAAAAATGATTTAAATGTTTTGATTTTTAAAGATGTCTCGGCCAAAGACTGGATATGACGAAAGAAGAAAAATATTCCATTGACAAGATCCAGGTACAAATTTAAGAGGTGGGATGATACAACCTGCACATTTATGGCTGCAGTTATTTCTTATCTTTAATTTCTATCAGTCTTTGTTTTCCTCATTTGGAATTGTACTGAGAAATACTAGGGGTTAAAACATTGGAATCCATAATATAGAAAATTCAAAGAACTATCAATTTGCTTTCCTCTTTCCCCTCTTAAAAATCAAGTGACAAACAAAACAAAGGAAAACTAGACAATGTTTAGAAAATGTCATCATCTTAAATTTTTCTTTACCATCTACAAATACCTTTTACAGTTATGAGCATTAAAAATCAACTCTTCCAGGAGAAATTAGTGAACTTAAAATGGCCACTGGTTACTTTAAAATTTAAACCACAAGCTATCTGATCTCACCAAATGGGATATTAGTTTTGTCTTTTAAGCAGCTCTAAAACTTGTAACTATGACCTTCATTCAATTCCAAACCAGAGTCCAGAATATTTTGTCTTTCTCCTACCAAATTTATCATGAAAGATAGTAAGGCATTAAACTGCTAGATATTTTTACATTTTACTATTCAAAAAGGAGTCTGAAGAATTACGATTTCCCCAATCTCTTTAAAATCACTTTTCAGTGATAAAACATTTCAAAGCATTTGTTTGAAAAAACAAAATTGGCACTTCAATTCTGTGAAATCAAGGTATATGCAACTGATATAAAATGCCCTACCCTATAAAAGGTATTCCGGTTGTTTTTTTCTGGAAATACCCTGTGAAATATGGTCCAATCAACCCGTAATCTTTGATTTTAGGTGTACTACGTAATAAGTCTCCCCAACACTGTCTTTACGCAGCTCTTCACCTATACAGCACTAGGGCTCCACAGAATAACGACAAATATATTCAAAAATACACAAAGGTCTATGCATTCCTAGCTTGTTCTTCCAACAATTAAACGAAATACCTCACGCATCTTTAAATAAGTATGCAGAAAACTTCGATTTTCGTTAGAACTGTTTTTTCAATACTGTTCCGTTTTTAAGCACATCTCGACTTTATACATGCAACAAACATGGCCCCTCTTCATCGCCCATCATGGACAGTTCGACTTCACTATGTACACTATGTAAAGTAACTTCCCGAAGAACTGTACTATTACATTATTCCTTTATAAAACTTTTGCGATCACCGTTTGTAATAGTATACATTTTCTCTTTATAAAAAAATAAACACGATGAATTTTAACTTTTGAAGCGTAGGAACTGAATCCATTACGTTACTGATAACTGCTCCTTCTACTCATTTAAAAAAGTACCCAACAGTAGAGTTACGACCAAATATCGGGATGTCAAATGGTCTTGGCAAAAGTACCGGTAAAAATAAGCTGTATTCATCAAACGTCATCACCTAGTACCGTAATTATCAAATCTACTTCCATTAAACTGCCTTGTTGCCGTCCTCACTTTTGAAATACCAGAGGCACTACAGTAACTTGTCTTTTGTAAAAGACAACAAACGTCACGAACGTTTACCAAGCAGTAAGAAGATACCTTTGCATCGAGAAAACTAACAGCCGTTTTCAAAAACAGCTCGGAAAGAGTTAAAAGCCAACACCCAACAGTGATGAGGAGGAAAAAAAGACAAGTTTTGTTATGGTTTAAGCGAAGTAAGAGGTCCCATTGTTCTTTCAAACCCGACCCCAAAGATGGGTGCCCACCTCACTGTATGAGATTTTTAGAAGCCCGTGTCCGGAGGATTGTTGTTGTCTCACGCGAAGCAGCAAAATAACTCACCGGAGCAGGCCGGAGCTCCACGGCGCGGCCGCCGCCCTCTCCCCGCAGGCTTGGAGCGGCAGCGCGGCGCCCGGCTGGCTGTGCAGAGGGAACGCGGTGCCCGACCCACACTACACGGGTGGCTTCGGCCCTCGGCGGCGGCGCCCGGTGCTGAGAGTGGAGAACCGGCAACCACCCCGCCGCCCCTCCCGCCCGCGCTCAAGGACGTCGTGCTTTTCCTCCCAAGGACAAAGGACAATAAAGAGAGCAGGAGAGCAACTCACCGGATCGAAGCGCGGCCGCCACCGCCATCAGCTCGCTCTTCCTCGCGTCTCCGGGACGGGTCGCCAGCCGCAGTCTCCGGCCCACGGCTCCGGCCGTCTCCCGGCCACGCGCACCGCCAGCACCGCCGCTGCCGCAGCGGAGCCACAGGCGTCGCGGGTCCGGCCTTCCCGGGCTCCTATGCCACGGGCTCCCGCAACCGCGCACAGCCGCCTGGCCTCAGCCGCGGCCTCCTTGCTCCCCAGGAGCCCTCCGGGACGGCCGAGCGCTACTCCCAGCGCAGCAGCGAGCCCGTGGGCCGCGGCGGGCCGCCTGACAGCTCGGGTTGCTGCTGCCTCTCCGGCCATCTTGTGCCGTGTGTGGTGTCTCTCCCGTCTCCTCGCTCGGCTTTACTCCCTCCTCCTCCTCCCCCCCACCCGCCCCACACACCACACAACATGGCCTCTTCGCTGCGGCGGTGGCTGCGGCGGCGGCAGGAGCTCCGCTGCGTTCCAGCTCGCTCCCCTCCCCCAACCTCCCGCCTGCAGCTCCGGGACCCCTAATGCGCACGCGCGCCACCACCCGCCCGCCGTGGCCATTGGCTGAGCCAGCTTCCTGCCATCGCTTCCCGGAGCGGCCTCACGCACTCTGGTTGGTGCCTTCCTGCCGCCCCGACAGCATCTTAGAGCACACTAGTGGTCAGTTCTGATCCCACCGCTTCCACCTTTTCAGCGACAATAGGACTGTTTTAGTGCCAATCACGTCTCGTGGGCGTTTCGGCTGAGAAGTCTCGACCTGCGATTGGCAGATGATGAAACCTTTGCGTTTGCTGGAGAGACGTAACTTTCCGCTCCGCAGTGCGGACTTCTCATAGCTAGTTCTGGTGTGTCTGTTACAGGCTAACATGGCTGTGGTCGTTAAAAGCTTAGACTTCGCTATTTCTAAGTTGAGGGTTTTTTTTTGTCTGTCTAATAAGAAAGAGGGAGTGGTGAAGCGTAGACGACATGATTGACAATATAAGCAAAGACCGTGCGCGTCCTTCACTTTTAGACAAGCAGCCAGCCATAGCCTCAGGATTTTTTCCCCTAAGCAACCAGAACTAGCTTCAGGTCACAGACATAAGCAGTGATTTTATGATCTGCACATTCCCTAACCTAATATATGACTTGATATGCCATTTATTTGAAATAATTGTTAGCATACACAGTGGCCTGAGGCCAAAACGACCAAGGCTCATCATACTCTTGATGAGCTAGCTGGACTCCACACTTTCGGGCAGTGTTTGTTGAAGTGGTAGTTTAAACGTCAACAACCTGTCCAACTTTCCCCTCAGAGAATTACACAAAACAAATGTTCATTTCCTCTCAGGAAACTCCACTTTTTGCCATTTCTCCTTCCCACTTCTGCCTGAAAACAACTTTAGGCAGAACACAAGTGAGCATCTGAACAGTTCTCCAATAGCTAAGGCAAGAAAAGTTGTTCTCTATCGGTAGTGACATTTACAGATGTTTCTTTTAGCAAGGGACCGGGGGGAAAGAAAACATAGATACAATTAGTTTCCGTGAGAGAGAAAAAACATTTTGACAAGGGTTGGTATGAGAGGGATAACTCTTAAGAGCCTCGTGAGACTTTGCTCCTCGGTTACAGTCAGAATGTTGAGCTTAGACACAAGAAATAGTTCTAGCCCCCCTTAAATCTGAGGGGTTGAGATAGGCTCTCTCTACATGTCTTTGGCTGTCCTGAAACACACTGTTAATTTTTTAACGTTTATTTAACGTGTGTGTGCGCGCGCGTGTGTGTGTGTGTGTGTGTGTGTGTGTGTGTGTGTGTGTGTGTTTACGCGTATGCCCGCGCTCATCATATATATTAATGGAGATAAGAGGACAACATATAGGAGTCAGTTCTCTCCTACTTCAATCATGCTTGTCTGCAAAGCACCTTTGCCTGCTGAAGCATCTAGCCTCTTCTTAGAAATCACATACTGGGGCTGGAGAGATAGTTCAGTGATTAAGACCTCATGTACTCTTCTTCCAGAGGACCTGAGTTCACAGTTTCCTGCACCCAAATCAGGTGGCTCACAGCTAACAGAAACTCCAACTCCAGGAGTATCTGATCTGATGCCTGTGTCCTCATAGAGCACATGCCCTCACATGCACATACACCCTCATAGACACAAATGTATACTTAATTGTTAAATTAATAATAGTAAAAATCACCAAAAAAACTTTTAAAAAAGAATAAAAATCATATACTGACACTGAAGAGATGGCTCAGTAGTCAAGGGTACTTCTGCTCTTGCAGAAGACCTGGGTTCAGTTCCCAGCACCCACATGGCAGCTTACAACCTTCTGTAACTCCAGTTCCAGGGGATCCAATGACCTCACCTGACCTCCATAGACATGGTAACATTCCTTCACATAAAATAAAAATAAATAAATATTTTTAAATTTTTTCAAGGACAGAAAGATGGGAAGGAGATATATGATTGATAGATATATAGGTAGGTACATGATAGATGATAGAGATAGATGATAGATGGATGCATGGATGGATGGATGGATAGATAGATAGATAGATAGATAGATAGATAGATAGATAGATAGGAAAAAAGTATTAGGCAGGTATGGTGGCACAAACCTGTAGTTTCAGTTACTTGGGAAGCTGTAAAGGGAGAATCCACTTAAACATAAGAGTTCAGGTCCAGTCTGGGCAACATAGCAAGGCCCTATCTCAAAAGACCCAGCAGGTGACTAGATTTAATGTAGCATGAGCTGGTTATGTAAAAGCTAGCAATCTGTATAGTTATTGGTGTTACTTCTCTGCACACTGGCCATACTTCTTAAAGATATATTTTGAGTCATAAACCCTTCAATAGAAATTAAGTTTTCTCAGTACATGGTCACTCTTCCTGATATGTCCACTCGAAATGCCAAGTTCAGTCTGATTAATGCCCAGACCTAGACAAGAGGTAGAACTATAAAGAGCAGCATGATAAAAAAAAAAAAAGTGACTGCTGATTTAAGATGGACATTGCTACAGAGTTCCTGCTTCATGGAAGAGTCTGCCAGACAGTCTACAGGACACAGAGAAAAATGACTGACAAACTGCCAATACAAGAAGACAGTTTAAAGTTTCCTGCTTTGCTGAAGAGTCTTCTAGACACACTATGGCCTATGGGCTGAAGATGGAAGATTACAGAAGAACTTCAGGTGACTGACAAGGCAAGATGTCTCTGTCATTTCTAGAGTTTATATATTATCCTTCTGTGGTCTTTGAGGGAGTTGAAGACAAATAGTTTTCCTTAGTTAGGATTAAAGATAAGTTACATATAGAACTTCAGACTCACAAAGATGATGGAATATTTTCTTTAAATCTTGCTAAATGTTAATGGACTAAATATTGTTAACTGTGATTCTTACTTGATAATTGTTGTGTGATATATTTTGCTATGTTAAGGTTAAAACCCTTCTGTAGAGAGCCACCGGTGCCATTCCCGAAGATGGTGCTGGTTTCCTGTCCACAAGCCAGCAAGGCACGGATGCGCGATCCACGTCATGGGGTGACCGTTATGACTGTTGCGGGCTGCACCTGTCAGTAACAGACACGACTCCTCTGAGCATATATAAGCAGAACCCTTTTTCCTCCTAGGGATCTTCCCTCAACTTGCTGTAATGAGCTGTTCAATAAACATAGCTGCAGAAGAATCCTGTTGTTGAGCCGTCGTTCTTGCAGGCAAGGCGATAGCGCTCAACAAGTGGTGCCGAAACCCGGGAACCTGACATCAGCGGCACAAGGGAGACCCTTCAGTCAGCTGGAGAGGATTCAGAACTGTGGCAGACAGGTAACAAAATAAGGTAAGTTCTGATAGACATGCTATCAGGAAAGCATGTCAGAAGCAGAACATGACAAAAAGTTGGGTGCGCACAAAAAGAAAAAGGCTAGCAAAGAGAAAGTGAAAGAGCCCCGAGAGACTGATCAAAAAATAAATAAATAAATAAAATAGAAAAGAAATAGAATAATAAAAAAGCCACAGATGGAGAGAATCTGGATACTGTATGGTATTATATTGTCTTTGTATTGTTTGACTGCTGAGGAAACAACTGTTAAAGGAAATGTTGCTGGATTAATTCAATTTATATATTTTAAAAATGCTTTGACTCCAAAATTTAAGTTCAAGGACAAGTTACTGGGGAA